TGATGGGAGCGGAACATCAATAGGCTGCCTCTTTCATGCCCTCTATTGGGGGGTGGGGGGCGGTCAAGCCTGCAACTCAGACATGTGCCTTGACTGGGAATCAAATTGGCAAACTTCTGGTGCATGGGATGATGCCCAACTGAGCCACACAGGCCAGGGCTCAACTATTCTTATTATTGTGTCCAAAGATTCATTCTCTAAGTTTCTCCCTCAAAACAAAACAAAAACCATGCCATCCTGTAAAAAAACTCCCTTCGCCTCCCAGACTCTTAATGGAATCATTCCTGCTCACTAGTTCTCTTCTTTCAGTTACTTTTCAGAAGCCTGCAGTCCATTTCCACTCTCACCAATCCAATGACACTGCCCTGGCAGATCTATTTTGCCTCTAACGTCACTGTGACCTTGGTCCTATGCACTCTGACCACTTTTACTGGTACATTGCTACCTTTGTCCTTGTTTCGCTGAATTTTATTTTTATCCTTTTCAATTTTTTTTAAAAAACATTTTGATTTCAGAAAGGAAGGGAGAGGGAGAGATAGAAACATCAATAATGAGAATCATTGATTGGCTGCCTCCTGCAGGCTCCCTGAGGATAGAGTCCGCAACCTGGGCATGTGCCCTTGACCAGAATTGAACCTAGGACCCTTCAGTCCACAGGCCGATGCACTGTGCCAAACCAGCTAAGGCTACCCTTTTTAATTTTAATTTTTGTCCTGAAGTAGTCTCATCTACATGCATGGTCTTAAATATATGCTCATTCTCAAACATGTAGTTTCACTGTTGGTGTCTCACCAGTTGGAAAAAAGGACTTCATCTTGACAGACTAACTTGGATGGCTTATTTTCAGTTCAAACTCATGATGTCCCTTCACTTATATTTTTAAGAAAATGTTGCCCTATCCGGTTTGGCTCAGTGGATAGAGCATTGGCCTGTGGACTGAAGGGTCCCAGGTTTGATTCCCATCAAGGGCACATGCCCGGGTTGCAGGTTCGATCCCCAGTAGGGGGTGTGCATGAGGCAGCCAATCAATAATTCTCTCTCGACTGTTTATGCCTGGTTTTCTCTAACGCTGTGATGGCATTCAAGCAACCTGTCTCTAAAGAGTGTGGGGTCGCTATTAATTATGTGGCATCTTATGAGCTGCACATCAGCAATGCTTATTTAAGTATGGCCTGTTGTTATATTGATGACGCAAGAGAACCTATTTTTTCTGGATTCTTTGAAGACCAAGCTGAGGTGAAAAGAGAACATGGAAAGCAATTCCTAAGATATCTAGTAGGATGTGGGAATACCATCTGCCTACCAGTGATTAAGCGGCCTGAGGTGGATAACTGGCAAACCGGCATAAAAGCTCTGGAGTATGCTCTGCAATTGGAGAACCAGTTAAGCCAGCTCCTGATAGACCTGAGGGTCACAGCTGCTGCCAACAATGACAATAATCTCTTGAACTTCATGAAAAGGTTCCTGGATAAACAGAGGAAGGACATAAACCACCTGCAATGCCAGATTGTATGTTATCACATATTAGAAAAGGAGGTCCAGGAGCAGGAAGAATTAAAGCCTGTCGGATAAATAGACCCAACATCTGAGGGCAACAAAGCAAGTCTTCCCATTGTAGTCATTCCCAAAATCAGCTATTTAAGGGTCTTAATCTTCATTTGACAGAAGACTGCTTTCCTTCACTGTGTGTACAATTAAATGTTTTTGCATTAAAAAAAATTCTCCTCATTGATGTTTGTCTCTCCCTCTTCCTCTCTGAAATCAATAAAAATATATTTAAAAAAAAAGAATATTTCCCCATTCTATAGAAAGAAGATCTTTACCTAAGTCCTAGAGGAATTTATTCTTCTCATCTATATTTTCATACCACATTGTATATAACTTTTGGCACCCAAACTGGAAATTCTCCATAATCTAAGTTAACTTTTTCAGCTCAGATCCTTAACTGAATCATGTCTGCAAAGCTTATTTTTGTCATATAAAGTAACAGCCACCGGGTCCAGGGATGAAGATGCAGATATTTTTGGGAGGACCATCATTCTGTGTGATGGCTTGTAAACAGACTTCAAGAAGAGATAGAAAAGCTTGAATGTAATATTTATTTGGTGAATTTACATATGAGGTCATTTACAAAAGTAAAGATACAGACAGATGCAACTTTCAGTGCAGGTTCAATATTTTTTAGGACAGGCAGTAGTCCGTGAGAACTGGAATGACAGTACTGAATGGCACATGCTTGTTTCCTTTGTGTTTTACCCCCCGCCCCGTGGGGTAGAAAGGGGGAAGAGAATATTAGTGTTCATGTACATACAGCCATGCAAATAAAAACTCTGGTGTTTTGTGTTTGCTAAGTCACAGGTTACTCAGAGATGTAGAGCATTTCTGTGTTCAGGGGTTATTGTAGGAGCATCATCTAATAACTAAAATGCAGACTTTCATATTTTCCATTATCCAAGTCATCTTAAATTGTATTATCTGCCCCCACTCATTAGTTAGAGGCCCTCAGTATTGTGCAGACTCTGACTTTGGAAGGGAGTCATTTCTAATAATTTCTAAAAAGATAGCATTTATAGACAATCTTTTTGGTTTCAATAGGATAAAGCACCCTTTAAAAGGGGGGTAAAATGCTCCTTTACTCCCAACAATGTAAACTCTAATTAGACTTCATTTCCAAGAAAGTGTAACTAAAGGCTTGGTGTTTTATTCTCGGGCTTAAATAAACCTGTCACCACCCAGAACATCTCAAAACAAGAGACCCCTTAAGAACACAGCCACCAGAAAAATGCAGCATATAAGCAAAAGGATGGTCCATAAAAGTGACAACTGGGAAAAAAACCGAACGTACTAAGTAAAAAGGTAAGGTAAAGAGAAACAAAACAAAAACCTGCTGTCAGTATCCCTAATGAAGACCTGGACATGGGAAGTCAGTCGGCCTTAGAGAACAAGATTAACTGAAAAATAAAAGCACTCCACAGGTCCTTAGCATCTTTGAAAAGATTGGCTCCAATTCCTTAAGCACATTTAGCCACAGTTGAAGCACTAAGCTTCAGAAAATACTATGCTTCTGGCTCTAAGAATTACTTCATTTTTGAACCTTTAGCCCCATTTTCTCTTCATTAGAAACTTTAAGCTAATTAAATACTCCCATGTATCACACTCCATCTTTAACATACAACCAACCTGCATTTTCTTTTAAAAAGACACTATTTAATAGTACTTATTACAGAAAATAGTCATGGGCAATTAAAAACACACTTTCATTTCACCTTACCTCTTACCTGGTCCATTCCTCCATTAACTCAGTCTTCCAGCACATACATCAATCATAATATTTGCTTCTGCATAATTTACAATGAAAACCAGCTGTTGTGGACTTGAAGAACAATGTACATTATCCATCAGAGTTGAAGGGGTAAAAAGGCTGAACAGTTGCCACTGAGTCAAAGGTTCTGCAGAATTAGAGGCATTGTGCATGCTGACAGTACTTTAAAGGGTTCTCCCAGTTTTGCTGCCTTAAAAACAAAATCCCCATGTAGGCTTTATTTCCTTCAAAAAAAACCCCCAAAACTCAAAGGGATTCATTGAATCTAAAAGAAACCTATTTACAACATTTACTCTGTTACTTTAAAAACCAACATGCTGTAAAAATACTTATATTACACAAATACACACACACACAAAGACAAAATCATCCATCTCCCCGCCCTCCTAAAAAAAAAAAAAAAAGAACCAAATCAACAAATAAAAGTTTTATTTGCATGGCCAATTATCAGTTGTACTCTTTGCAACTTCATTTTAATAATCCTTTAACAGGTCTTAAGCTTTTGTTGCACAGGGAATAAAAGCTGCAACACTGCACACTTCCTTCAACAGCCACTCCCACAACACTTAAACGTGAAACAGATGTAACGAATGACAGCAGCACAAACAGGAAATACCAAGTTCCATCATCCAACACAGTTCATGACAGTGTCTTTAGGGTTCAGTTGCAGAGGGGGTAAACTTCTTCTAAAAAGAGAGTCATGTTCCCTTCCCCTATTTTATAATGTTGGTGGCTTTAATCCATATTTCTTTGCAACTTCTGTCTGGGCATGGGCTGCATCACAGAGTGAGTATAGATGAGCCATCTCCATTTCCGATTTGGCCAGGTTAATAGCTTTGTTGAACATGTCAATGGCTTTCTCCATGTTTCCTCTAAAAGAACAAAAATTTTAAACATTTCATTCAACAAGCTCCTCACAGAATGCAATGAAGTTAGTAAGTGATGCTATATTGAGTCTGACCCATAAATTTCAACTACAACTAATAAAATGGTTCTTTATAATAAAACAAGGCACACAGAAAGTGCTTGATTACAATTACTGTGTGCTTATTACACCTGTTATAGTCTTGTTTTACAGATAACAGTTGAGAGTAGAGAAATTAAATGACTTGTTTTTAATCTTCCTAATTCCTATGTTTGACCAAATACAGCAGGCTAACTATTAGGTTGATAATTTTGTATGGCCCACGAATGATGTTATGAATATCCAAAGGGCCCTTGGCAGAGAAGGTTCCCCAGCCCTGGTCTAGAAAAGTGACAGCCTCACAGAATAGTAATGGCACTCAGGGGCCTCAACTTCACAGATCTGTGAGTCCACTTCCTTTTGTCTCACCTCTTACCACCATGTTCCCATCCTATGCACCTCACTCTAGTCACACAGGTCTACCTGAATTCCTTGACTGTGCTACATACACCCATACCTGCACTATTGCCTCTTTGCTTGATTCTAGTCAGCTCCTCACCTTTCTAAGGCACAGTTCAAATCTAGCATTTTCATGAAAACTATTTTCCACTCCCTCCCCAGTGTTCCCATAGTTCTATTGTCATTCTATGCATAAATAGATGTATATACACCACAATCCTAGTAGATCCTTAGTGGACAACCCTCAATTTCTAGAACCTAGTGCAATGCCTGATAATTAGTATCTTATTTTTTAGTAAATGGGTAAATATGCTTGGACAAAAAATATAATTTACCATTTACAATCTAAGTGTGATCTGGTTTTATATAAACTTACTAAGAACCAAGAGCTGTGTTAAGTAACTAGTATTAGCTATGTATATATGCATACATGCATATCATCTTACAATAAATATTTATTAAGTCCCTACTCTATATATGCCAGTTAGACTAAGAAGTACAGTGTACCTGTGGGGCGACTAACCTCCTATTCCAACAGATGACTACATGATAGACATTAACAACAACAACAACAAAACTTTGAGTTCAGATATCAGGTAGACAACAGGTTTGCTAAATCCTAGGGTAATGAGCAAATTCACTCCATTCACATGTCTTTATTTTTAAGACAGGATTTAGAATGAATTTCTTAAAAGTTAAAATTAATTCACAAATAAAAGCCATCAAACCTCATAACCCAGGGGTCCTTAACCCAGGCTTTATGAACAACTTAAATGCAAAGTGCTTTTATATGTGCATCATCCTAAGAAAAATCCACAGGTCTGCTCAAAAAGATTAAGAACTGCTTTCCCAACCTATTCTAATACAAGAATGTTTTATTCACATCAACAAATTGACAATTAAGAAATAATTTAATATTTACATGCAACCATTAGTACAGAATAGTTAAAAAGAACCATAAAAATTTTCATCAGCCTGTATATATAATCTGCCTATTCTGAGCAGACAGAGGACCCCAGAAGGGGCTGAATGACAGAAAATTTCAACTCCTACTGATTCCTAACAAGCAAAGTGGCAAGAGCAGTTATTTTGATGTCAGTGAAAGATGGGCTCATTTCCTGTCTACTTGGCTCACTTGTGTAAACTTGTCAGTTTAACCCATCTGGGCATCAGTTTCTGTATTCTTCAATTACACTAAGAACCATATAATCTCCAGCTTCTAATTATAAAGAGTGGTGTAAAGATTAGTTGAAATAATATTTGGACAGCACCTAAGGTTCCGTACCTGGCCATAGAGTAGGTACTCAAGTGGATGGCAATTTCAGTGTTAAGATGGCATACACTGAACTCTATGGCACAAGCAGTTGTCACCTTTAATGGTGGATCTCAAGTGCAACTCTGGATAAACATACACAAAACAAGAAGTTATGAAAAGAGTTGCAAAAAAATCTTACCTAACTCCCCGATTTTAAAGAAAACTCAGGCTCAGAGCTGATCCTGCAACTTGGCTGGTTGCTTCTCTGTAACGGGACCTAGTTCTCTTGGCCACCTGGCTACCATTCCTTATGCTGCTACACTGCACTGCCTAAGCCCTCTGCAGGCTTTTTTCTCCCAAAGAGGAAAGAACACACAACAGGAATTGGAAAAGATGAAATTTTCCTTTGTAATACATATGCTTGACTTAACTTTTAAATTGGAAAAAGAATAGAATAAGGCAAATAAAAGTTGCATAGTTTTGAGGGAAGCGCACCTCAAAAGGCATAACATATTAAAGACTTAAAAATTTAATGGATATTGACAATATCGTATCTGTAATGAGAAGAATGGAAAGATAAGATATCTACAGAGCTGCCTTAAATTTCCTAAGAACAGACTTTGGAAGTTACCTTTGTACTTCAATAGTTCCCATGGTTTCATAGGCAAAATCACATTTACTGTCAATTTCAATAGCTTTGCTGATAAGCTCCAAACCTCTATCCAGGTCTTGCTTCCACTGAAGTTGAAGTAAACTGCAAATGCAAAAAGGCAGTCAGATTGACCATGGGCCAAAAGCAACAAGAATATAAGTATATGACTCAATTTCTGTCCTCAATGGATTTTTATTTACAAAAAGAAAGCAAAACCTAAAACAGTATATAATCAGCAAATTGTTTTTATTTCTCAATTTACATTTGTTTTGTATTCTAAATTCCTTATGAAAAAAGTGTCAATGGAAACAACCTAAGTGTCCATTGATAGATGCATGGATAAAAAAAACTTGGTGCACACACATACGCACACGAGAAATATTACTAAGCCATAAAAAGGAATCCTACCATTTGCAACAACATGGATGGACCCTGAGAGCATTATGCTAAATGAAATAAGTCAGACAGAAAGTCAAATACTGTATGATCTCACTTATACGTAGATTCTAAAAAAAAAAAACAACAACAAAAACCAACCTACTTATAGATACAGAGAACAGAGTGAAGGGTGCCAGAGGCAGGGATGAGGGGTGAGTGAAATTGATGAAAGGAGTCAAAAGGTACAAACTTCTAGTTACAAAATAAGTAAAATATGACAATGTAATATATAGCATGGCGGCTATAGTTAATAATACTGTATTATGTATTTGAAAGCTGCTAAGACAGATCTTAAAAGTTTTCATTACAAGAAAAAAAATTTGTAACCATGTACAAAGACCTGTTAGACTTATTGTGATAATTTCACAATAAATATAAATACTGATTCATTACGTTGTACACCTGAAACTAGTATATCTTATGTCAATTATATCTCAATAAAAAAGAAAGGACAAAGTGTCCAATAGTTTGGGCTCTATCAATTACCTAGTAAGCTTAATTGTTTTACTTTGTATAAATTTAAGTGAAGTTTCTTTTTTATTATAGTTCAAGTACCTACCATGTTTCCTATTTTGACACAAGTAACATTTGATAGGATGTTCAGAACTGAAATCCTCAAGCTAAAGTGAAATAGTACATTTATTGATTGCTATACAAGAATGAAACATAAGTAAAATTTAAAAAATTAACAGTGAAGCATCCGTACGATTAATAAATGTATTAACTCAGTGATACTCTACACTACAGTACTTTCCTCAGTGACCAAAAGAAATCCATCTTATTACTATGCAAGAAATTTGGTTTTTTACTGGAACAAACAGAAGCACAAAAATACATACCCTTTATGAACATATGTTGTGGCATTATCTGGTTCCAAATCAATACATTTATCATACATTTCATCAGCTTTACCAAACTGTTGTTGATCTGTTAATGCCTAGGTGAGGAGATACTTCAGTTATATTAACATAACTGTCAACCTAAACAGTTAAAAGTATATTGCTTATTAATTATGAAAATTTATTTCCTTTATCCATTTCTTTACAAATTATGATGTTTGGAGGATATAAAATGTTACAACTTAATTATGTTATAAATATGAAATCTTAACTGTCCACTATTTTTGACAAGTGGTTAAATACAATAGCAAACAATGTGGTAAATGTGGAATACACAAAACCCCATTCTTGGTGCCAGTTCTAATATCAGATTTTCATAGGTACATTTATGTCACTTATTCATAACTTATCAAAATATATCCTAAAGGAATTTAAAGGCAATACTCATTTGGAAGGATAAATTCAGGTATGTGTGTTACATGTCATCAGTCATTCTTTAAAAATTGATTTTTTTAAAAAAGGAGTTACAATGAACTATTTTAAAGCAAATCCCATGGCAGAAATCAAAGGGTTGGTTATGTGGATACCAGATCATACTCAAACTGTAACTTTGAGTGGTTTTTTTTTTTTTTTTAAGTTATACTATGTCCCTCCCTCCATCCCTCCCTCTCTAAAAAGCAATGGGAAAAATATCCTCAGGTAAGGATTAATTATATATAACTACTAGAGGCCCGGTGCACGAAATTCGTGCATGAGGAGGGGGGGTCCTTCAGCCTGGCCTGTGCTCTCTCACAATCTGGGACCCCTCGGAGGATGTCCGACTGCTGGTTTAGGCCTGATCCCTGCAGGCAGCCAGGGAGGAGCCCGAGCCGGTGCCGCGCTGCTCGCGCTCATCCTAGCCCGCTGCACCTGCCACTGCCACTCAGCAGCGCTGCCGAGGAGTCGGGAGAGGCTCCTGCCCCCACAGCTGTGCTCGCCAGCCGTGAGCGCACTGACCACCAGGGGGCAGCTCCTGCATTGAGTGTCTGCCCCGTGGTGGTCAGTGTGTGTTATAGTGACTGGCCGACTAGTTTTAACGGTAGCTTAGGCTTTTATATATGTAAATAGTGTGTATGTCCTAAATAATAAAGCAGTGATATGCAAATTGACTATCACGCCCTCGCACAAAGATGGCCACCTCCATGTGGTCACAAGATGGCTGCCACAAGATGGTCGGCAGGGGAGGGCAGTTGGGGGTAACTGGGCTGGCAGGGAAGGGCAGTCAGGGGCGATCAGGCCAGCAAGGGAGCAGGTAGGTGTCAATCAGGCTGGCAGGGGAGTGGTTAGGGGGTGATCAGCTGGCAGGCAGAAGCGGTTAGGGGGCAATCAGGCAGGTTGGCAGGCGAGCGGTTGGGAGCCAGCAGTCCTAGATGTGAGAGGGATGTCTGACTGCTGGTTTAGGCCCGAACTCATGATTAAACCGTCAGTTGGACATCCCCCAAGGGATGAGGATGCAGGCTGGGCTGAGGGACACCCTGCCCCCGGTGCATGAATTTCATGCACTGGGCCTCTAGTCTATAATAATAAAAAGGTAATATGCTAATTAGACCGGACGTTCTTCTGGATGAAACTGGGGCTGGTAAGGAAGCCTGGGTCCCAGGTGCCAGAGGGAAGCCAGTGCCGGCAGCCAGGGGAAGGAAAGCCTACTCTTGCACGAATTCGTGCATCAGGCTTCTAGTACATATATAAAATTACATATAACTATGTATATAGTGAAGCAAAAATAAGAAAACTAAAGGATAGACATTTTAGCACAGACTGTGATGATACTAGTGCTAATAAAGATAGCTCAAGTAAGCCAAAACCTATTTTGAAGGTAGCACAGTGACAAGACAATGCAATTAAGAAAGCTCTGTGAGAGCTGTTCCTAATATAGGTGTTTTTTTTTTTTAAAGCTATTCAGTGGCCTTTGTTCTTTTAGCTGATTATAGAAATCTGCATCAAAAAGGCTTTTTAAAACTTCATTTCATTGATGCTGATGGTATTGTCCCTTCTGCTTTGTTCCTAGTAAAAGGCATAAACCCAAGTGCACCTATTCAATACAAAGGTTACACAATTATAATGTGCATTTTCTTATTTTAAACTCTATACATTCTATAAAATTTTATATAGTACACTAGAGGCCCAGTGCATGAAATTCATGCACAGGTAGGGTCCCTAAGTCTGGCAGGCGATCAGGTCCGATCAGGTTCCTCACCTCCTGGCCTCCTCCTTCCCTCAGCCTGCCACTGCAGCTGGTCACCTACCATGTTCTACGCCCCCCCCTCCCCTTAGTGGTCAGCGCACATCATAGTGAGCAATAGAACTCCTGGTTGAACTCCCAAGGGGACAATTTGCATATTAGCTTTTTATTATATAGGATGCTTTCACAATGAATATAGAGCAGGTGGTCAGCAACTATTGTTTCCTTTTTTTTATTATTATCACCACCCTGCTAGCAACTGTAAGGACAAAGACTGAAGAGATAAGATTACTTCTAAATGAGATTAAAGAACTTGTGTTTACTTCATGCCCCAGAGAGTTATTAGAGAATTTCAATTTCTGATAATACATGGATATGTAGAACTATTAAAGAATAGATGCAACACAAATCAGTCTACTCACATTCCCTTACAATAAATCCTCAAAAAAAGTTTCACCCCATGGAACTTTTTTCTTTAACTTAACTGAAGATTGCATGAAGGAACTTTAAAAGAAAAACAAGCAACCTTAAGAATGGTTTGGAGGTAGAAATCACCACAGATGGTCATTTTTAAATGTTTTCTATATCTGAGATGTGTGGGTGGGTGTGACAACATTTCTTTGGAATAAAAAAAGAGAAATCATATAGAGTATTGAGATAGATGATTTATGCAGACACCAAAAGCAACTTTTAAAAATTAATAAGTTTTCAAAGATTTCAATTATACAGTGGAAATAATTCAAATTTAAATCATACTTCCCCCAAATCTTCAATCCTAAGCCAAGAATTTTAGACAAACCAAAGAGGAGTTAAAATGAAGGGTTACAGCCTATCTAATCATTTAAAAGGATAATGATCAAATAGAAACAGAAGGCTTCCATAGACATTTTCTCTTCCAATTGAATATAGTAAATTTTCCTAAGTTAATTTGATAAATCCAATCCAGATAAAAACATAAGGGAGATGTCCTGCTTACACTTCCCCACATTATGAGTTTAGGGTCATGGTTTTCAAATTGTGTCACATAGGAGCCCCTCTTGAAGGGGTTCAGGACCACCCTGGGGGCCCCAGAGAATCACAGAAGAAACAAAGCATTGTTTTCTGATTTCTCTACTGGGATTCAGCACACAAGTACAGATCTTTTAAAAAAAAGGACTGGCAAATAAACAAGTATGAAAAATCACATTTACCTGGGCATATAGTGCATAGCCTTCAGCACACCTGGGAAATTTCTTTATGACCTCTTCAAACCCTTTCATAGCTGCTTGGATTTGTGAAGAATTGTTTCCTGTATATGCCTGGCGATACTGTTTAAAAAATCAAAACAGGCCTGTTAAATCAAGAATTCAAAACTCATGGAACGTTAACATAGTATAAAAGTTACACAAAATTACATAAATATTTCCAGAAAGACAGGTGTTATGCTAACATAATTTGCTGCATCTAAAAGGGTAACAAGGAAGCCCTGGTTGGTGTTGTTCAGTGGTTAGAGCATAAGTCCGTGCAAGAAGGGGTGGTGGGTTCAATTCCCAGTCAAGAGCAATACCTGGATTGCAGGTTCAATCCCCAGCCCTGGTCAGGGCATGTATGGAAGGCAACTAATTGATATGTCTCTCTCACATCAATGTCTCCCCCCCCCCGCCCCCCATTAAAAAGCAATGGGAAAAATGTCCTTGGGTGAGACTTATCAAAAATAAATAAATAATAAACACAAGGGTTCCAAGAAAACAGCTCAGCAGCAGGGTATCTAATCTAAAGGCTATGTCCAGCTAGGACTTTGCTGACATACAGAGTCCAGGATGTTCACGAGAAGGGGGCATTCTAATGTGTCAGAACTTAACTTTGCATATATATGAGGGAGTTTTAAACCTAATTTATTATCACTTTACAACAAATGTTATGTTACTTTATCTAATATCATTTTTCACCTATAATATACAGGACAGACCGCAATTATGATGATGGTCCCATAAGATTATAACGGAGCTGAAAAATTCCTACTGCCGAGTGACTTAGCCACCCCAACATCATGATGCAATGCATTACTCACGCATTTGTGACAATGCTGGTGTAAACAAACCTACTGTGCTACTAGTCACATAAAAGTATAGCACATACAATTATGTACAGCACATAATACTTGATACTGATAATAAACGACTATGTTACTGATTTATATATTTAAAAGACTAAACACTTTATCATTATCTTTGAGTACAGTCTTTCTACTTACAAAAAGTTTGCTGTCAAAAGTATATATGCTGTGTTATGCAGGCTGCAGCCTCATATACCTCATATTTACTGCATCTCTTAACTGCATAATTTTCTGGTGCTTGATTCAACACCATGTTGTTTTATTCAGTAACCTGCTGTACAGGTTGGCAGCCTAGGAGGAATGGGCTATACTAGTGGTCGGCAAACTGCGGCTCGTGAGCCACATGCGGCTCTTTGGCCCCTTGAGTGTGGCTCTTCCTAAGCCTTAGGAGTACCCTAATTAAGTTAATAACAATGTACCTACCTATATAGTTTAAGTTTAAAAAATTTGGCTCTCAAAAGAAATTTCAATCGTTGTACTGTTGATATTTGGCTCTGTTGACTAATGAGTTTGCCAACCACTGGGCTATACCATATAGCCTAGGTGTTTAGTAGGCTATGCCACTTAGGTTTGTGTAAATGTACTGTGATATTTGCACAATAACAAAATCACTTAAAGACACATTCCTCAGAATGTATCCTTATTGTTAAGCAGCGCATAACTGTAAATGTGTTTGTGATCTAATTTCTTTCTTTAAAAGGAAAATTATTTTAGGACTCAAACTATAGAGTGTGGACGAAAAGGAGCCACACACTAAACCTGGCAAGCTCAGGGGAGACCTGTGTGAGACCTAAAGTATCCACATAGGATGGTCTGAAATTAAAACTTTCTAATTAAAAGCAGTTCATGGTGGGTAGTCATGTCCAAAGATGGTATTTTTCCCTAACAAAGGTTAATCTTCACCTTAACTGAGCTTGTCAGTTGTCTCTGCATCTAGAATAACATGCTGACAAACACGCCTTTGCAATAACAAAGTAATTTCCTTTTTTCTGGATCCCTCAAGCATCATGTTAATTGTTGACTCTTAACTACCCTGTATCCAGCTATGTAAAAGATGTGTCTATCATTTTACTTTTCATCCAATCCCAGAGGTTTCCCCACTTTGTTTTCTCCAGCCTCCTTCATCTATCATCAATGAATTCCATGTAACCCACATGTCTCCTCTTTTGATGGTAATGTACAAGGAAGGTGCAAAACCGCCATTTTCCAAAGCATTTTCTCAATCCGTTGAGATTTTGCTTCCTGGCAATTGTCAGTTTGGCTCAAATAAACTCATAAAAATTCTTACAGGTTTGGACATTTCCTATGGTTCACAAGAGCTATTGAAGTACCTCATTTCACTATAAATTGAATTATTTTACTTGATTTTCAGCATTTCTGATTACTAATAGCTTTACAAAGGCGAGATGAAATTGCAGTTAATGTGGTGTCATAATTGCAGTTATTAGTTCCTCAAAATGCTTTTGTTCTCTGTACTAGTTTATGGTGGAAGAACAGGAAGAACAGTGCTATACAGGGGAGCATGAAAATCAGGGATAAACATCTATCAAGATGAACTCAAATAATACAACCAGAGGAATACAGAAGCAGTATCTCAATTAATATATGTATACATTTCTTTCTCTAAGCTAACTTGTTTTCCCCCTATGGGTATCCTTTGGGGGGAAAAAGAAAAAGATGATTTTATAGACAATGAGGGAAATAAAAATGATGTGTAGGAATATAAAAAGAAAGCAGAACCTACCAATGCAAAGCATTTCTGCGCTTGTGCCAGAGCAGACTCAGGTCTTAATCTAATACATTCATCAAAATCTGCCACTGCTTCTTCAACTTGATCAAGCAGTATTTTCAGCTAAGAAAAAACAAAACAAAACACACATAACTAAACACAACTCAAAATAATAAGTGCACCCACCCCCAGTTAAGAGACATACTGTCTCTTATCAAAGCTCAGTATAATGCTAATAGCATATAGTAATTATGCAATATAGGAATTACTTTCTAAAACAATAAACCAGAAAATCTTGTAATTTTAAAGGAAAGCTTCTACAACTTAAAACTAGTGTCCAATTTCTTAAAAAGCACTATAAACCCACCATTTTTGCACTGCAATTTTGACCACTCTTAAGCAAGAAACCTTTTCTTCTAGAAAGATAGACATTTCTGTACTTTCACATTTCAAAGCAAATCAGATCATCCAATAATTGCCTTTCAAATTAACCTTAAGATACTACCAGTAAGGATCAAAATGTCAGGAATTTTAAGAATGTCAACACTTCTTCAAACCCTTCAGACAGAAATATTAGGTACAATTCTCCATTAGAAAGAACTTCAGCATTTCTGTTATTATATGGATAGTCCATACTTTCTACCATAATGCATTCCACCAAGTCATGTTAAACAAGCAGATTAAAAAGCCATGCTTTCCCCAGATGAGGCTAAAACTGGGAACTGTTTACTTCACTATATATATATATTTTTTACTAAAAACCAAATATGCAGGTTGTAAATCTCCAATAAGATTTTTTTTTTTGGTATTGTTTGGATAGTCCAGGCTAACTACTTCTTGACAGCAAGAAGCCCACAGAAACCATTGTGTTGCTTCTGGCATTAATTCAAAATGCTCATTAAATATTTTAATGTTCTACTCATTGAAAACCTATGAATCGGAAACACCTGAAAAACAAACTTGACCTGGCAAGCCAATATCTGTAGCCTTCCTTTTCTTCTTTTTAATAAGTAAATACTGATATTATAAGGACAAATGTTCAAGAGACTGTGATAATTTGTTCAGAACTATCAGAATTGATATAAGAAAACTTTAAGACATTCTCAAATATGGGTATCAAATTCCTCAATCCAAGGTCAGAACTCCTGGTAAGAAAATAGATTTACCTGTCCTCGGTGATGATAAACATCTGCATTCTGAGGATCAATGTCAGCAGCCATGTTAAAATCCTGAGTGGATAACAAAGGCTGCTGCTGTTGCATGTACATGCTGCCTCTTTTGATGAGTGCATTTGCTCGAAGCTACATGCCACAAGTGAGAAAAGGGTCATCATTACTACTTTTTATTCCAATGTAGTTTAAAAGCAAACAAACAAACAAACAGCTGTATTGAGATATAATTCACATACCACAAAGCTCACTCATTTAAAGTCAGTTGTTTTTAGTATATTCAGAGTTGTGCAACTATCACCACTATCTAACTCCAGAATCTCATCATCATCCCCAAAAGAAACTTTATACATATTAGCAGTTACTTCTCATTTCCTCTCTAATCCATCAATCTACTTTCTATTTCTATGAATTTGTATATTCTGGACATTTCATTAAAATGGAATAGTCTTTTGTGTCTGGCTTCTTTCACTTAGTATAATGTTTTCAATGTTCATCTGTGTTATAGCATGTTATCAGTACTTCATTCTTTTTTATGGCTGAATATTATTCTACTAGAGGCCCAATGCACGAAATTCGTGCAAGAGTAGGCCTGCCTTCCCCCGGCTTCCCTCTGGCACCCGGGACCCGGGCTTCTCTCGCAGCCCTGGCTTCATATGGAACGTCGTCTGGAAGGACATCTGGTCTAATTAGCATATTAAGCTTTTATTACTATAGATTGTATACCACTTTTCTTTATCAGCTCATCCCTTGATGGACATTTGAGCTGCTTCCACTTTTTGGCTATCATGAATAATGCTGCTATGAACATTCATGCACAAGTTTTTGTGTTGCTATATATATTCATTTCTCTTGGGTATATGTCTAGGAGAGGAATTGCTGGGTCATACTGTAACTCTGTTAAACTTATCAATAAACTCCCAAACTAATTTCCAAAAGGATTTTTATTATTTTACATTCCTGCCAGCAATGTATGACAGTTTCAATTTCTCTACAACCCTAATCAATACTTTTCACTGTCCACTTTCTGAGTATAGTCATCCTTGTGGGTGTTAAGTGAAATTTCATTGTGATTTGGATTTGAATTTCCCTAAGAGTTAATGATGCTGAGCATCTTTTCCTGTCCATATTGGCCATTTTAATATACTAGAGGCCCAATGCACGAAATTTGTGCAAGGGCCTTGGCCCTGGCGGGCCCCCACCCACTGCAGCTTTGTCCAGAAGGAAGGACATCCGGTCTAACTAGCATATTATGCTTTTATTATTATAGATTCTTTAGAGAAAATGTCTATTCAGAGCCTTTACCTGTCTTTAAATTGAATTGTTTTAGTAAGAAGAGTTCTTCATAATTCTGGATACAAGCCCCTTATCAGATATAGAATTTTTATTTTCTCACATTCTGTGCAATGTGTTTTCTCTTTTTTGATGGCATCCTTTCAATCAAAAAAGTTTAAAATTTTGATGAAGTCTTTTCTTTATTGCTGTTACTTGTGTTTTTGGTATCATATCTAAGGAATCACTACATAATCCAAGGTAAGATGTCCTCCTATGTTTTTTTTCTTAGAGTTTTATAGTTTTAGCTCTTACATTTAGGTCTTTGATTCATTTGAGTTAATTTTTGTACATGGCATATGATAGACATCAATACTACTTGCCATTCAAACAAAAAGTCATGATCATAATAAAGCAAGATACAGAGATCCCCAAAACTCTTTCAAGACAAAACTACATATGTCTTCCTGAATGAAATGAACAAGAATGCTCCCACATTTTAACAAGAACATATTTGTAATCAGTAGGAAAATCATTAGGAAATAAAATTAAAAATATTACTTAGGGTATCTTCAATTTTAAAATTTCATTTTAAAAGAAACTGAACAAATACTGCTATAATTACTTTTGTTTACAAAAAGTTTAGATATTTATTGACAAATACTTAAGTCTTTATAACAATTTTTATAAACGAATGATTTCTTTGTAGGTGGAAAAAGCCAGAGTTTACTTAATTTCATGAGGAAACAGGTCAGAGTGAACAAATTGGTAAGGAAGAGAGTTAGCTGGTGGCTAAGTTCTGTCATGTTACACTTAGTAGAGAGCTCTCAAAATTCAACAGACACCCCAATCTTAATTATGAAAATAACTACATACACATAAGAACACTTGGAAAATGAAAAGCTATTCCAATGACACACTGAAAAACTTCTGGTATATTTCAGTACCTATATCTTATTTTTAGAACCTGTATTTTTCTTCATGTTAAAGATAAAAAATTACTGGCATCATAATAAAATCTTTCAGAATATATTATTAAATGTGTTTATTTTTATTAAATGCACTTTAAACCTTGTACTACCTGTAGCATATTACGTGCAGCATTACCTACACCATTACCCTGACCAAATATAGTCCATTACATAGGCCAGTGATGGCGAACCTATGACACACGTGTCAGAGGTGACACGCGAACTCATTTTTTTGGTTGATTTTTCTTTGTTAAATGGCATTTAAATATATAAAATAGATATCAAAATATAAATCTTTGTTTTACTATGGTTGCAAATATCAAAAAATTTCTATATGTGACATGGCACCAGAGTTAAGTTAGGGTTTTTCATAATGCTGATACACCGAGCTCAAAAGGTTCGCCATCACTGACAAAGGCAGTGCTACAAACAAGAGGTGAAGCTACCAAACGCTATAGAAAAAAATGTGTTTCCATTACACGAACTCAATCTTCATTAGTGTAGTTCCTTCCAAAGCAAAAGTAGCCTTCTGGAGAATGACAACTGAAATGCCAAAATTTTGGCAAAACATCAAAAGCCTCATTTTTACTAATTTTTGCACATGCACAAAAGCATATTTTAGAAACGTACCTTCACATTAGCTTCTTTCAAACTGATGACCTTGTCTAAATCTGGTTTAGCTGCGTTGGCATTGCCAATAAGCAGGTAGAAGGTAGCTCGTAGTAATAATGCTTCTGCCATGTATTTGCCTTGAGCATCTATTTCTTTTGAGCATTCACTTATGATTTTGTCATAGTTTTCTTCTTCCATGTATTGTTTGGCCTTTAAATATCCAGAACTGAAAATAAAAATGAACATAGGAAATCATTTAGGAAGAGAAGATGAAATGCTAAAACTTGCCACATTTAGTACACCTGAGTTAAGAAAATGTCCATTTCCCCTTAACGAGCTAGTCGGCCAGTGTGGGACAGCAGCAGGGCAGGAGGTAATAGGAATCTTGATATAGACTGAGATTTTCTTGATGCCTTGAAGAATTTTTAAAAAGGAATCAGCAGTCAGTGGCAGAAACCTGCGGTTACTGCCCAAGCTTCAACATTTAAACACGTGAAATGAAAAGGGCAAGTCTTATTCACTTTCTTATCTGTGGCACATTGATGGCATGCAACAGTTATGACTAACAGAAAGGATAGAGAAATCCTATATAATAAAAGGCTAATATGCAAATCGACCAAACGGTGGAATGAGTCACTATGACATGCACTGACCACCAGTGGGCAGACACTCAATGCAGGAGCTGCCCCCTGGTGGTCAGTGCACTCCCACAGGGAGAGCGCCGCTCAGCCAGAAGCCAGGCTCTCGGCTGGCAAGCATAGCAGTGGTGGCAGGAGCCTCTCCCGCCTCCGTGGCAGTTGGATATCCCTTGAGGGCTCCCAGACTGAGACAGGGCGCAGGCCAAGCTGAACCCCCACCACTCCCCAGCCCCCCGAGTGCACGAATTTCGTGCACCAGGCCTCTAGTAGGAAATAAGTCAGCTCAGGGCCACAGAAGCCCAGGGAAAAGGTGTGACCAAAGCTGTGCTTTGTAAAGATGAGCAAGGGAGCAAGACTAAAAGCAGAGAAATATCTGCAAGGCTCTCATCCAGAAGTTGTGTTGTTTTACTTGTAAGAACAGACCTAGAAAGAATAGGTGGAAATATCAAAGAAGCAAATTTAAAGGTAGATTCTCCCATAAAAAAACTTTAAAGACATCCTTCCCTACTTCTTAAAATTCAGTGACCACAATATCATTATTCATCTAAGATGATGACTATTATCGAGGGCACTTACAGGAGAGATTTCTTGGAACTGAAAAGGAATTTATAATAGATGAGCCTATAAGGGGTATTATAAACAAAGTATTGTAAATGAAAGTGCATTTCCTCACTTGTTATATATTTTGAATAGAGAAAACTGGCAAATGACTTAAGAGTTGTTGGTCAAGCCTGGATGGTGTGGCTCAGTGGTTGAGCGTTGACCTATAAACGAGGAGATCATGGTTTGATTCACAGTCAGGGAACATGCCTGGGTTGCGGGTTTGAACCCCAGTGTTGGGCATGCAGAGCACAGCCAATCAATGATTCTCTCTCATCATTGATGTTTCTATCTCTCTCCCTCTCCTTTCCTCTCTGAAATCAATAAAAAAATACATTTTTAAAAAGTTGTTGGTCAAAATCTTACGAATTCTATGCTAATAACCTTTCCTACAGTCACATTCTAAAACCCCCTTATACTCTAGTTTTGTTCCTCAGGTCACCAGGCTAAGAAAACATAATTATTAAATCAGTATGGAAATAATAATGGTTCCTACTTATTGAGAACCTAAGTGCATGCTCACAAATATAACCTTTAAACCTCACAATAAACCTCAAAGGTAAGTATTATCAGCCCCAGTTAAAAAATGATGAAGCTAAGGTCAGAGTAAAATGGAATTCAAAAACTTAGGCCCAATTCCAGCTAGTGTTCTGGTGAGAGGTAGCTATGTCCTGCCACCTCAATGTAACTTTTAGAATAATGGTATTAACATCATTGTAGTTTTTCTGGGACAATGACCTTTTTCCTAACCAGAAGAGGAAATTATTGGCATCATTTTAAACATTTACTTCCCAACAACAATCTTCTGAAAAGGCTGAGTATCAACTAACTAAAATTTGAACATCTTAGTACCATTATGCATAATATCTTCCTCCTTAAAAGGTGGCCAACAATGCTGGAAAAATTGGGAGATAGAAATGAAAAACGATCTCTTTCCTGGACCCAGAGAGAATTATGCTAAGTGAAATAAGCCAGTCAGAGAAAGATAGTGCCATATGATTTCACTTACATATGGCATCTAATGAATAAAATAAACTAACAAAGAAAACCGAAACAGACTCATAAAATACAGACAACAGGCTGACAATGTTAGAAGGGAAGGAGGCTAGGGGGCCAGGTGAAAAAGGTAAAGGGATTAAGCAAAAAACACTAAATTCATAGGCACAGACAACAGTGTGGTGATTACCAGAGGGAAAGAGGAGTCGAAAGGGGTGTAGGGGGGATAAATGGTGATGGAAGGAGACTTGACTTGGGTGGTGAACACACAATACAATATACAGATGATGTATTATAGAATTGTACACCAGAAATCTACATAATTTTATTAACCAGTAACCCCAATGAATTAAAATAAAATAAAATAAAAAGCTGGTTAAGAGACTCTTAAAAAAAGAACAAAGAGCAATCTGTTTCCTTAAACATTCTAATCTGTTATAGATGCAAAACTATGCTTTGCTATAAAAATATTTCCTTTTCTTCCAAATTCATTTAGAAATGTTATTTTGGTAACAATATTGTACCTGTTCCTGGAGAGGACAGCTAGCCTTAACATCAAAACACAAGTACTGATAAAGACAAAAGGACAAGCAGGCTAGATGGCTTATGTACTAGACTGATCTCCAGTTGTAAACATGGCATCCTATACTGTTCTCCGTAAGAGCAAACACAAGAAGCCTAGAGAATGGCATTTTCCCAGGCAAGCAGAAAAAAACCTTGAAGAAAGTCATTTTGGGGTACTCCTAAGCATCTCAGTTTATAAATTATAAACTTCCCAGCACTAAAACATTTGGATATTCAACTACATAGTAATTTTCAAGTTAGTGTCCCTATTTGAATACAGTTGATCACCTCACTCACTGGGAATTCTCTTGAGAATATCACCAGGACCCTAAAAGCAGGGCAAACTCCTGCCAGTAAAACCTTAAACCACCAGCGAAATAACTCTCAGGGTGTAATAGACACATGTGAGAAGAGAAGTATTTTTATTATAACAATGCTATCAGGATATTTACATTTTTTTTAGATGAGTCAGAGCCCCATTTATGCACGTAAAAAACAAAAACAAGCCCTAGCTGATTTGGCTCAGAGGATAGAGTGTTGACCTGTGGACTGAAAGGTCCCAGGTTCGATTCTGGTCAAGGGCACATGCCCGGGTTGTGGGCCTGATTTCCTAGTGTGGGGCATGCAGAAGGCAGCCGATTAATGATTCTCTCTCATCTTTGATGTTTCTATCTCTCTCCCTCTCCCTTACTCTCTGAAATCAATAAAAATATATTTTTTTAAAAAACAAATAAAACCAAAAAATCTCCCCCAGCCCAGCCAGTGTGGCTCAGTAGTTGAGTCGACCCAAGAGTCAGGTCACAGTTCGATTCCTGGTCAGGGCTTGATTCATCTAAGATTCAGCAGGGGATGTGTAGAAGGCAGCCAATCAATGATTGCTTCTTATCATTGATGGTTCTCTCTCTCTCCCTTCCTCTCTGTGTGAAATCATTGAAACATATACATATATATATAAAATCTCCCTCAAAACAATAAGCAGATACTATACTTAACACACTTACTTTTCTTTCACTTCTAAAACCTCCCCTTCCTTGTCTTTATCTTCATCAGACTTCTCTCCTTTAAGCATGGGCTGAGAAATTATATCATCCGTGAAAGAACTGAAGTAAGATTTGATAAACTGTGGAGATGGCATCAGAGGTTCACGATTCTGAAATTTAATTATGTTTAAATACATCAAAATGAGAAAACACAAACCAAAAAACCATACATTATACAACACTGAGAATGACATAAAAATTGGAATCTCTTCTTTAAATAACTGAGGAATATTAGGTTCAATACCAAAAGACAGCAGAAATGGTAAAGCTGTCAGCCCTAGCTGTTCAAAGCAGGTTTTTTAAGTGAGAACATTTCCCCTCTCCAAAGATGTAAAATGTTAAGAACTCTTAGAACCACTCATTAGCCAAGCCAGTGTGGCTCCATGGTTGAACGTCGACCTATGAACCAGGAGGTGGTTCAATTCAGGGCCTATGCCCGGGTTGTGGGCTTGATCCCCAGTGTAGGGCATGCAGGAGGCAGGCTGTCAATGATTCTCTCTCATTATTGTTGTTCAGCCGTGGGCAAACTATGGCCCGCGGGCCGGATCTGGCCCGTTTGAAATGAATAAAACTAAAAAAAAAAAAAGACCATACCCTTTTATGTAATGATGTTTACTTTGAATTTATATTAGTTCACACAAACACTCCATCCATGCTTTTGTTCCGGCCCTCCGGTCCAGTTTAAGAACCCATTGTGGCCCTCGAGTCAAAAAGTTTGCCCACCCCTGTTGTTGTTTCTATCTCCCTCTCCCTTCTCCTTTCCTCTCTGAAATATATATACCCACCATTCACTAAAAGTAAAAGAAGGTAAAATCTGGAACCCAGGAGGCAAATAACTGCTGAGTTAAAATGATATCCTTCTGGCCCCTGTCCTAGAAGACTAGCATCCCAGTTTACCACTCATAGACCATGTCTTACAAATGCGTCGACATGTAAAGTCCACATCCCATGGGCCTTCATTGGTCCTCTGTACTTCATCTGAACATCTCCATTAGAGTAGGTGCCAATTGAAAGCCAGATGAGATCACATTTCCTGTTTAAATTATTGCTTTTGGGCATGGCAAACTCACTCGTAATCTCATAATTATAGGAGTATTTTGTTTTTCCTTGTAGTACAACTAAGATGATAAAGTTTTAAAAGAAGAGAGAAGAGGAAGTAACAGCCAAAGGGCTCTCATAACATATATTAGATCCTTTATGTACAAAATTCAACCAAAAATTTTTTAAATGAAAATATAGTATTTTAAAATGTATATCAAATATCATTGTTGCCCTGACTGGTTTGGCTCAGTGAATAGAGCATTGGCCTGCAGACTCAAGGGTCCCAGGTTTGATTCCGGTCAAGGGCATGTACCTTGGTTGCGGGCACATCCCCAGTGGGGAGTGTGCAGGAGGCAGCTCATCAATGTTTCTGACTCTCTCTATCCCTCTCCCTTCCTCTCTGTAAAAAATCAATAAAATATATATTTTTTAAAAATATCATTGTTATTTTGGTAGATTTTTTTTGAGAACATATTTTTATTATTATTTCAGAGAGGGAGAGGGAGAAAGAGATAGAAACATCAATGATGAGAGAGGATCATTGATTGGCTGCCTCCTGCACGCTCCAAACTGGGGGTCGAGCCCGAAACCTGGGCATGTGCACTGACCGGGAATCGAACTGTGACTTCCTGGTTCATAGGTAGATGCTTAACCACTGAGCCATGCCAGCTGGGCTATATAGATTTTTTTTATTTTTATTTAATTGTTTTATTGCTTAAAGTATTACAAAGAGTATTACATATGTCTCCTTTTTTTTCCTCGCCCTTGACAATCCCCTGGTATTGATAGATTTAATATCTGTGTGTGAAGGAGAAAAACAAGGAATCTGGTATGTAAGTAGATGATCTAATCTAGGATAGATGAGATTGGGAAAGAAGAAAACTAAATAGGAAATCAAAGGGAAAAACCTATCTTTGCTCTCTCTCTGGTGGAGAGATTTAGTATGCCTTAATTTAGGATTATACAAATAAATATTTAAGTCAAATGATAATCCATTAAGTGACAAATATGCCCAATGTCAGTATTTCACTAAAGATTTCGAGTAGGAATATGTAGTGATGATCATTTAGCATTTTAGGGGAAAAGCTTAAATAGAAATTTAAATAGCACTTATTGGAGGCCGAGTAAATAATGTCTTTTAGTTTTCTATTTCTGAGTAGAAAAGAAACTATCACCACCTCCCTGCCTTCCCCAGGGATACAAATTTAAAATAAAGACAATGTTACAATTAATGGACTTAAGTATCAAAGGAATAAGATGTAAATTCTAGCTCTGCCACTTATGAGCTTATGTGACCTTGCACCTGTCATTTTCAGTTTTCTCATCTCTAAAATGGCAACAAAATACTTGCCTTATTTATCTTACAGGGTTGTTGTAAAAATCAAAACAGTAATATAAAGTATTTTGTGATTTATAAAGTGACATACAAACAGATTAGAAAATACACCTGGAAAATGATATGGAGTCTCTGTAAATGTAGGTTACCTTGTATTTTCTTACCACCCTTCAATTCAACTAGTACAATTCCTCAACAGTAATCCTATCTAACAAAGAGAGAATATGCAAATTGACCATCATGCTGTTAACAAGATGGCTGCACCCACAGCAAAGGCGGGGATCCTGTAACACAAGATGGCTGCACCCACAGCGGAGGCCAAGTTCCCATAACGAGCCTTAATGAGCAATCAGCAGGGACCTGAGGCTGTGTGGCGCTGGGCCAGGGCAAGGCACCTGAGGCTGCACCCCCCCCCCCCCCCCCCCACCGCCTGGTGGAGCTTGACAGGGGACCTCAGGCCGCCCCCTCCCCACCCCCCCGCCTGGCAGGGCTTGACGGGGGACCTCAAGGCCATGTCCTCTGGCCTGGGACCAGGGGACCTCAAGGCGCGCCCCCTGCCCCAGTGCCAGGCCAGACAACCTGAGGCCATGCCTCCCACTCAGTGGGGCTTGACGGGGGTGGGGCCGGCTGGGTCTGGGTCTTGTGCGATTTTGGGGCACATGTGGGTGGGTGGGGACTTGACTCTGGTTCCCGTGGTGTGCCCCAAACTCTAACAGGAGGAATATTTTCATATACATTTTACTAATTTTCTTTCATCTCTGACACTTCTATTATAGAGAAAGGGCAAATAGCAATATTAACATATTTCCTCTAATTAATTCCCTTTTAATGTGCACAAATTTCGTGCACTGGGTCACTAGTATTATATAAGTAAACACAAAAAAACCAGGTAACTTTAAGATTCCATTTGCATTTTACAGTGTTTTAAGGAACACCAGTTCTATAAAGTGCTCAATGAGAGACAAAGGATCATTAGTTTAAAGAGACTGAGAACCACTACATCTATATTCCTTAGATTCATAACTCATCTGAGCATATGAAAGTTCTACCATGATGAAACCTGTTTTAACTGTTTAACTCAGCTAATATTTGAAAATGGTAAGTTAAAAATATACACAGCTTGTTAAAATTAATTTTTTTAAAAAAAATCGAGTTATTATTAAAGAAAAAAGGAACAACTGTTAAATTACTGACATTTAGCAGAAAATCTCTAGGGATATTTAGTGATGACTGTGGTACTCCCACACCACTCTACTCATATCCTTCCCTGGCACTCAACCATATGATGCCTTTTATACTTATCATGGTTTCCCTCACTAAACTATAATTCTGTAAGGGCAAGGACCAGTCTTTGTATCCACTCTTCTAAAATGCCCACCATGGAACTTTGGTCAATAAATGTTTCTTGAATTAAACTATCTATTACTGAATGCTTAAAATTAATAGCTACTTATATAGTACAACTTTAAAAACTTTAATGATATAAAACGGGAATTGGCAATTTTTTTCTGTAAAAGGCCTGAGAGTAAATATTTAGTCAATATTTGTGACAGCCTCTGTCACAACCACTTGACTCTGCTGTGGTAGCTTAAAAGCAGCCAAAAATAATGTGTGAGCAGCTGAGTTCCAATAAAACATTTATAAAAACAAATGGCAGATGAGATTTGGCCTGTGGGTCATTTGACAATTCCTAATATAGACAAATTCTTTCAATGTTCTCCAGGTAAAATATTGGACACAGCCTACATTCTTATTTTAAAAAAGATAAGCCACAAAATACCAAGTTAAAAGGAAAAATAAATATAATCCAGATCTAATTGGTTATCATTACCATCACGCTCAAGCTTAAACACTATATTTTAGAAATGACCACTCACAATGTATACTCACCCTCTATTAACCAACTCAGATTAATTTACCTTGTATTTTTCTTTGGCTTTTTCTTTTCCAAGAAGTTTAAGAACTTTATCAGCTAACAGCATGCTTTGTTGATTTTGGAACCCTTCTAATATACACACAGCAGTGACGTCTAGAAATAATGGAAAAATAAAAGTATGAAATTATTGTGAAGATGATTAGCAGCATCAAATGGGCACAATCTTACCACAGAAAGCGAAACTAAATTCATAGCTGTATGTGGCTATCAATTTCATTTCCAATAAATTGATTCCTAAATTTTATTTTATATTTTCTATGACCAAACTCAAAGCTCAGAAAGTCACTCCACTTCTATGGGATTCACTTTCCTCTCCTGGAAGTGAAAGAGACTGTAGTGCATGATTTGTGATGTTTCGCACTGCACTAACATTTTACATAGCAAATAAAACGAATTCAGGAGCATTCTCTTCGAGCCAGTAACTATAGGCTAAATTAACATAAGGAGGCGCTCTCACATCTGGTCTTTTTTATAGGCCTCAGAGTTATTATTTCCAGAGCCATCTTGCCAAGGCTCTCAATTAAATATACTTCAAAATACCATTTTCATCTGGTCATGCCATAGTTCCAAGATATATTAGTTTGTAATTTAAAAGATCAGTGATTCCTTAATCTACTAACTTTTCATTCAAAGTACTAAAACAATGGCTGTTGCCTTTTTCTGAACTCAGTTTCTTATAATTCCAAATCCTCTCTTCTCCAAAGAAGTCTTTCTGCTATTATGCTCCCCAAAGCCTGGCTAGTGCCAGTATCAATGTCTTTTTCCCATCCCATTTTTCCTATTAAAATCCATTTAACCTCCTCTTTATAAATTATCTATGAATAACTTCAAGATTTCATTCAAAACTCAGAATTCTCTTTTCCAAAGCAATACACTTCTACCCACCACCAAAGTTTATGACACCATAAAACAGTGATGGCGAACCTATGACACACGTGTCAGAGGTGACACGCGAACTCATTTTTTTGGTTGATTTTTCTTTGTTAAATGGCATTTAAATATATAAAATAAATATCAAAAATATAAATTTTGTTTTACTATGGTTGCAAATATCAAAAAACTTCTATATGTGACATGGCACCAGAGTTAAGTTAGGGTTTTTCAAAATGCTGACACGCCGAGCTCAAAAGGTTCGCCATCACTGCCATAAAACTTCAAATTTTTCTAAAATGTTCTATAAACCACTCTCACTTGGTAATGCAGGTTTTTATAAATAAAACGGCACTTTTAAGTAATAATACTATTAAAAATAATTATGGCCCTAGCCGGTCTGGCTCAGTGGATAGAGCATCAGTCTGCGGGCTGGAGTCCCGGATTCAATTCCAGTCAAGGGCATATGCCTGGGTTGCAGGCTCGATTCCCAGTGGGGGGCGTGCAGGAGGCAACTCATTAATGATTCTCTCTCAACATTGATGTTTCTATCTCCCTCCCTCTCCCTTCCTCTCTGAAATCAATAAAAATAAATTAAAAAAAAAATAATTATGGCTAGCCCAGCTGGTGTGGCTCAGTGGTTGAGCATCGACCCATGAACCAGGAGGTAATGGTTCGATACCCAGTTAGAGAACATGTCTGGGTTGCGGGCTCAGTCTCCAGTAGGGGGCGTGTAGGAGGCACTGGGGGCATGTAGGAGGCAGCCAATTGGATGATTCTCTCTCTCTCTCCTTCTCCTTCGTTTCTCTGAAATCAATAAAATAATATATATTTTTTTAAACAAATAATAATTATGGGCAAATCTTCTGAGTGTTTTATGTTTTTAATTATGTAAGATTTAAATGTGCAGTGGAAAACAATTTTAGATGGTAGAAATTACACTTTAATTTAGCTCCACGGCACCCAGAAGAATGTACTTTAAAACCCAGTGGTCTAGCCCTGGCTGGTTCGGCTCAGTGAATAGAGCATTGGCCTGCGAACTGAAAGGTCCCAGGCTCGATTCCGGTCAAGGGCACATGCCCGGATTGTGGGCTCGATCCCTTATGGGGGACTTGCAGGAGGCAGCTGATCCATGATTCTCTCTCATCATGGATGTTTCTATCTCTCCCTCTTCCTTCCTTTCTGAAATCAATAAAAATATATTTTAAAAATACCAACACAAATGTACTGTAAAAATAAACAAACAAACAAACAAACAAAAACCCAGTGATCTATACTATAATTGAAATTTTGGTACCAGAATATTTACAGTATTTACTAAGAATGGCAGTTTCACTTCATGCTATGTACTAATTACATAATTTCTAATTGGGTATAAAATAATGTTTGAAAAATACTGAGGGCAAAAAAAGTTTTCTTTTAATGAGTCATTTCAAAATTATTTCAGATTTATATACGACATTAACTGAAAACATGTAGAATCTTAGAAAAACTACCACTTACTAAAACTCCTGATTTTTTACTCATGGAATTACACTGATGCTCATTAGTTGCCAAGTTTAAAATGTATGGTGTATTAAATCTGAATCATAATAATCATTTAATTCCATAATTGAACAGAGACAATACTCAAATGTCAGCTATCTCAGTTTAAACCAGAAAACAAAGTCTCAATTGGGAAAGAGTTGAACTTTTAAATACAACTAATTTCTCTACTTACAGGCAGAGTTTCATATAAATTTACCAATGATTACAAAACCATTAATTTTCACATGGAAACACAAAAATATCCTCACCTTCTAAACATTCCTTCTTATTGTCTAGCTTCTCGTGGGCTTTTGCACGTCTAAAGAGAGCTTTCACATATTTGGGATTAAGTTCAACAGCCTTTGTACAATCTTGTGCCACCTCTTTCCATTTTTGCTGCAATTGAAAGTATTTTTTAAGTCACACTAAAGCACTGTTTGACAGAAATCAGTTTTCCAAATTTAACAGGCTGAGTGTTAAGAGTCTGACAACAGAAAAAAGTATTTTCAATACATATCAAGAATATCTATAGCTCAAATAAATATCTGTAATAAAGATAAGCAAGGATGTACAGAAGGCCGAGAGATGCAAATCAAAACAACAATGAGGTACCATCTCACACCTGTCAGAATGGCTATCATCAACAAATCAACAAACAACAAGTGCTGGCGAGGATGTGGAGAAAAAGGAACCCCCTTGCACTGCTGGTGGGAATGCAGACTGGTACAGCCATGGTAGAAAACAGTATGGTGTTTCCTCAGAAAGTTAAAAAATGGAACTCCCATTTGACCCAGTGATCCCACTTCTAGGAATATATCCCAAGAAACCAGAAACAACAATTAGAAAGGATATATGCACCCCTATGTTCATAGCAGCACAATTTACAATAGCTAAGATTTGGAAACAGCCTAAGTGCCCATCAGCCAATGAGTGGATAAGAAAACTGTGGTACATCTACACAATGGGATACTACGCTGCTATAAAAAAGAAGGAACTTTTACCATTTGCAACAGCATGGATGGAACTGGAGAGCATTATGCTAAGTTAAATAAGCCAGTCGGAGAAAGATAAATATCACATAATCTCATTCATATGTGGGATATAATGATCAACATAAACTGATGAACAAAAATAGATCCAGAGACAAGGGGCAGGGGAGGGAGTTAAAGAACAACCAAAGGACTTGTATGCTTGTATATTAGCATAACCAATGGACACAGACACTAGGGCGGTGGGGCTTGCCTCGGGGGTGGGAGTAGATGGGGGGTGTCTATCCGGGGAAAAAGGAGACATGTAATACTTTAAACAATAAAAGAAAAAAAAAGATAAGCAAACTGATTTTTAAAAACACTAGGCAAAGGACATACTTAGGCCAACTTTCTACCACCAAATCTACAAACCTTCCTGCATCTATGTGCCCATATCTTCTTCTTCCTGCCTGCTAGAACTGAGGAAGCGCCCTTCTTTATCAAAGGCCAACCCTCCACTTATGGATCTGCACTCTCTCCACTTTAGGGACTCCACTCTATTAGCCATTCTACCTCTCCATCAATCTGCCCCCTCTACTGAATCATTCCCATGAGCATCTTTTAAAAACCCTCCATTGATTCCATAAATCCCTGCAGCTTTTACCCCATTCTTCAGCTCCTCTTTACTGCCAAACTCCAAAGAGTTGCCACTCTAACTGATTTCACCTACCTCACTGGCTGCTCCTTCACAATTTCCTTCACTAAATTCTCCTTCTACCTGATCTCTACATGCTGGAATTAGTCAAGGCCTCATCGCTTTCCCTAGGTCAGTGGTCGGCAAACGGCGGCTCGAGAGCCACATGTGGCTCTTTGGCCCCTTGAGTGTGTCTCTTCCACAAAATACCACGTGCGGGCGCGCACGTACAGTGCGATTGAAACTTCATGGCCCATGCGCAGAAGTCGGTTTTCAGCCTGGGCGAGTCTATTTTGAAGAAGTGGCATTAGAAGAAGTGGGGGTACGTTCGCTGAGGTCGACCCCTCAGATTGAGGACATTTTTAGCAAAGGCCAGCTTAGGAGTACCCTAATTAAATTAATAACAATGTACCTACCTATATAGTTTAAGTTTAAAAAATTTGGCTCTCAAAAGAAATTTAAATCGTTGTACTGTTGATATTTGGCTCTGTTGACTAATGAGTTTGCCGACCACTGCCCTAGGTGATCACATCTATTGTTCTGGTATTACATAACATCTAAAATTAAATGATTCTTTATTGCTTTAGCCCAAACCACTCTCCTAAAATAGACAACTGTCTACTTAGCTATCTCATGCCTTCCCAACCCACTGTTATTAAAATTCCTGCTTCTCTTCACCCTTCACATCCAATGCTGTTGGGTTTCAGCTTTCCTTCATGGCTCATCTAGGCTACTACAACATCCTTAGTTGGTCTCCCTGCCTCCACCCTTGCCTTCCTCCAATATAGTCTTGACAGAATGGCAAAAGCAACAGATGATGTTCCTGCTCTACTTAAAACCCTTAAACATTTCCCATTATACTCAGAATCAAATCCAAACTCTTCACTACTACAAGGCTTTGCTTGATCTGGCCTCTGCTATTTCTCCCAATTTCATCTCTTTATATTCCAGGATCCTTTATACTTCATTAATCACACCAAACTCTTTCCTGCCTCAAATTACACATAGCGTTTCCACTATTTGTAATACTCTCTTCCCCACTTTTCTATGCACCAATTCCATCTCCAGTCATTCCTCTATTATAGAATCATGTGTCTTTCAAAGCATTTAGCAAAATGTCATTTAGTAGTTCATTGTTTAGCTATAAAGTTCTATGCATAATTACTTGCTTTTATATAGACTCAGCTCCTGCCATAGTAACCTTCCATATATGACACAGTTAATAAAATTTGGTTGAACAAGTAAACACAGAGAATACAAATGCCCAATAAGCATAGAAAAGGATGGTCAACTTCAGCAACATCTCAAAAACTGCAGATTAAAGTAATGAGACAGTATTTTTCTTCTACAGGAGTGGCAAATATTATTAAGACTGATAATCAGCCTGGCCAGTGTAGCTTAGTGGTTGAGTGTTGACATATGAACCAGGAGGTCACAGTTCGATTACCAGTCAAGGCACATGCCTGGTTTGGGGGCTCGATCTCCAGTAGGGGACATGTAGGAGGCAGCCAATTGATGATCTCTCTCCTCATTGATGTTTCTCTCTCTCCCTCTCTGAAATCAATAAAAATATATTAAATAAAAAGAGTGATAATCAATCAGCAAGAATACTGAAAATCAAGCATGTTCACTGCTCACATTATTGTTGAAAATAGATATTGATGCTATCTTTTTATATTTCAATTTCTAGAATTTTATCTCCCAAAAGTATGCACAAAAACTTATCCAAATGTTCAACAATAGTGAGATGTTTTCCATTATACAATCAAACAACAGCTACTACATACAGCCTTTTAAAAAAATGAAACAGATCTACATATGTTATGAAAAGCTATACAAGATATAGTGGTAACTGAAAAAATATGTTGCAAACAACATGTGTAATAGGAACTCATCTTTGGTCTTTTTTATTTTTATATTTACTGATTTGAGAGAAAGAGAGAAACATTGATTTGCTATTCCACTTATTTATGCATTCATTGACTGACTCTTATATGTACCCTGACCAGGGATCGAACCCACAACCTTGGCTTATCAGGACGATGTTCTAACCAACTGACCTACCCAGCCACGGCCTCCCCCTCCTCTAACCCCCACTTTTGCTACTACATATATTGAGACAAAAAGTTTAAGAAACAGCCTCAAACTGTTGAGAATAGTGTCACCAGAAACGTTAGCTTTCTGTACTGTCTAATTTTATAAAATCGGATATATATAACTTTGGATTACATTTTAAACAAACAAAACTAAAATTTGTTCTTAAAAAACTTATGTAATTAAAGGATATAAAAACAAAAGTCCTGTAATTTCAAGAAAACTTCAAAAAAGTCATTAGATTTATTTAAGTGGCATTATCTGAAACATAATACAAATAAAGAGAAATAAAAAACCCAGAAAAAACAACCTAGGATACCTACCAACTGTTCAAAGGCAGCGGCTCTGTTTTGATAAAATGTGGAAAGGTCAACATTCTTCTCTGTAGGGCACAGACTGATCGCCTCTGTATAGCAATGAATAGCTTGTTCATATTTCCCTGCTTTAAAGTATTTGTTGCCTTTGTTCTTGGCTGCTTGGGCTCTATCAAGAGAGTTCTAAAACGAGAGGAAACAATTATTAAATACTTATCAATAGTCAGGAATAGATTCAGATCACAGTGCTTAAATGATAAACTGACAGAAGAAAAACAGGAAGGTGTTCAGAATGGTCATTTACCTGAATGGTGCAAGTTGCTTGCACCATTTAAGGGTTTTAAGTAGAGCAGGATAATCCTATATAATAAAAGCCTAATATGCTAAGTGTCCAGTTGTCCATTCAACCAATCAAAGTGTAATATGCTAATGATATGCTAAGCCCGCTCAACTGCTTGCTATGACGTGCACTGACCACCAGGGGCCAGACAGTTGACCGGTTGACCAGTTGCTATGATGTGCACTGACCACCAGGGCTGGTGCACTGGCAGGTTAGCTTGCTGCTGGGGTCTGGCCGATGGGTACTGAACTAGATGGGCTGGGCACGCCCTGGAGCCCTCCCGCAGTTCCTCCCCAGCTGGCCAACCTCCCGCATCCCTCCCAGGCCCGGATCATGCACCGGGCCTCTAGTCTCAGTAATAGGATTGCTAAATCAAAAGGTTTACATATTTTTAATTTCAAAACCACTCAGACTTTCCCCCAAAAAGGCTGAAGTGCTTTAATGTACCACTTTCCTACATTCCTACCAGCAACAGGTATGGTTGCTATCTTTTATTTTACCTTCTAGAGCACGTTTGCCAATATCTGAAAACATTTTGACTAACAACTGAGGGCAGGGGAGCTACTGTATCTAATGGACAGACTTTAGGGATGTTTCTAACATTCTACAATGCCAGCACAGCCCCCACAACAAAGAATTATCACATTCAAAATGTCAATAGTAGTAAGGTTGAAAAATTTGGGTATAAACTAATATTCCAATATTATTTTAATTTGCATTTTTCTCACTATTATTTAATTTGAATATTTTTTCATATTCATTGGTCATTTGTCTTATTTTAAAAACCACTTATTTATGCATGTTACTATTTTTCTGTTAGACTATCAACAGTATAAAACAGACACTAGAAACACTGTCATTTTTATTACAATTATTCCAAATGTACTGTTTGCTCATCAATACATTTTTTGCACTGTCTTTGTCTCAGAGTCTGATTCCTGGAACACCCAATTTACACAGTTCATGTGCACAATACAAAAGAGATGGTAGTTAATATCCACTGAGGACAGTTGTGAACATGTTAATCAACATAAGGGAAACATCTCTGTAGACCAGTGGTTCTCAACCTTCTGGCCCTTTAAATACAGTTCCTCATGTTGTGACCCAACCATAAAATTATTTTTCATTGCTTCTTCATAACTGTAATGTTGCTATTGTTATGAATTGTAATGTAAATATCTGATATGCAGGATGGTCTTAGGAGACCCCTGTGAAAGGGTCGTTTGACCGCCAAAGGGGTCGCGACCCACAGGTTGAGAACCGCTGCTGTAGACAAATCTAGTTGTCCAGAGTCTTGCTATTAGGTCCAAGAGCTTTGTTGGCATGTCTCTATCCAAAACTTTGTTGTCAACATCATCTAACTTGAACAAATATGTGATTATGGAAAAAAATCCATATATCTCCAACAGGTGAGCACTGACAAAGCAAAAGCATAAGTGGCTGCTCCCTCAAACAACTTACAGAACTGTGAAAGCCCCAGGACATCTCAATCACAAAGAGAAGATAACAACCCTTTTTTCTATTTGTTCATTTCTCCCTTACTCTTGCTTCATTTTTCTTTGCTACTTCCCCCCTCCATTTACCTTTTGTTTACCTTCTCTTTTAGTCTAACCACAGCTATGGTTATATTTTTTAAGTATAGTGTGCAAAAAAGAATTTGCAGAAACTAAGATCAGAATATAAAAACAGCTAATTTAAGCTAGCCAATGTCAACAAGGAACATGCATATTTTAAAACTAGTATGTGTGAGGATAAAAGAAACCAAATAAAGCACAAATAAATTAGTAGATGAATATAAAATCTTCCATTTGTCAATAGCTTTAATCATCCTATATAATAAAGAGGTAATATGCAAATTGACTGCCATGCCCTCACAAGATGGCTGCCTACGATCAGGCTGGCAGGGGGGTTAGTGAGGCATGACCAAATGACTGAACAAGCAGACTTCATGGGGTGACCAGGCCAGCGGGGTGGGGGTGGGGGGGTAGTGAGGGACAACCAAATGAATGAACAAGCAGGATGCATGGGGTGACCAGGCCGGCAAGGACGTTAGTGAGGGATGATCAAATGACTGAACAAGCAGGCTGCGTGGGGCGACCAGGCTGGCAGGGGGGGCAGTTAGGGGCGACCAGGCCAGCATGCAGAGGCAGTGAGGGGCGATCAGGCCGGCAGCAGTGAGTAATTAGGAGCAGCGGTCCAGGATTGTGAGAGGGATGTCCGATTGCCGGTTTAGGCCCGATCCCCGGGATCAGCCTAAGCCGGCAGTTGGACATCCCCCGAGGGGTTCTGGATTTGAGAGGGTGCAGGCTGGGCTGAAGGGACCTCCTCCTCCACCCCCCATGCACAAATTTTGTGCACCGGGCCTCTAGTCTTCCATAAACTTTGACAGAAAAATCCTAGGCACAAAACATCTATAACAGAAGACAACTAGGAATCTCTTAGGTAGCTATGATTCTGGGGGGGAGGGAACTATTAAGGTGATTTCTGGAAAACTGCATTTAAAGCAAACTCAACATCCCTTCCATTCCACTGAGAAAAGCAGAAGTCTGACTGTACTAGGGCTGTGTCATCCAGGAGTGGAGCTCTCCTATGTCCAGAGACAACTGTCAAGTACACCTTGCTTGTCTTCCAAGAGACCACACTGTCAAGAACTGCTAACAGAAAGGAAAATTAATACCATAGAGGTACCAAACTCAAAGAGAAAACTAGTATTTATGATAGAATAAACCAAGCAAACAAAAGTTAACATCAGTAGAATATGAATCTATCAATATTTTTTAAAAAGGTTGCTTTTAAAAGTACTAATTAGACATCTTGAAAATTAAAAAAGATAACAATTAACTCAATGGATGGATTGTATATTAGACTAAGGAGTCAAGAAGGTCTGCCAGAATGCAATAAAAAAAGAGGATAGCCCTAGCCAATTTGGCTCAGTGGATAAAGCGTCGGCCTACAGACTGAAGGGTCCCAGGTTCGATTCCGGTCAAGGGCACATGCCAAGGTTGCAGGCTTGATCCCCAGTAGGGGGTGTGCAGGAGGCAGCTGATCAATGTTTCTCTCTCATCGATGTTTCTAACTCTCTATCCCTCTCCCTTCCTCTCTGAAATAAATACAAATATATATATATTTTTAAAGAGGATAGACAGAGAGGTGAGAAGCCTGGATGAAAAGTTAATACTTGGGTTGCGGGAAACGAGTTAAGTCGGCTCGCGTGAATTGCGCGTATTCCGCGGGAGCCGTCTTAAACTCGGTTCATATAGATTTGCGGTGGAGTGCGGGAAACGTGTAAACTCGGGCCGATTGTAACTGCGTATTACCAAATATTTCATTTCAATCGAACCCATACTTCAAAAGATATAGGCATTTTAATGCGCCATCTTATATTTTGGCGGGAAATTCACCCGACACCGTAGTGTTAAATGACATGGAATGTAAATTCAGAAGTTTCAACATTTTATCTATCTGAAGTTTAGAAGGAGAGGCATAGAAAGGAGTATCTAAGGAAACAGTAGAACCAAACTGGTGTCAGGATGTTACCAACATCAGGTAAACAAAATAAAAAAACACACAAAACAATGATGTAACAACTTCAAAGTTCTGAAGATTATCTTGATCTTAAAATCTAAAATCGTATACCTACCCAAACTAGTATTTATGGTTGAACAAGAACAGAAATAGTCTACTGCTTCCTTACCACTAAAAACAAACTCCTACGTGGGGAAGGTGATCAATACAACAAAAAGCAGGAGGGGGGTGGGTGGGTAAAGAAAGAAACAAAAAGCAAGGTACTTATGGCAAGAGCATTAAATATGACAATTACAAGCCAAAAAGGAATGTAAAAAAAGTTATAGAAGGCAACTGCTAACAAAAAGAAGTCAGTATCAAATAAAATACCATTCAGAAACCTTGGAGCACAGAAGAGAAGTTTTATTGGTAAAAGGTACAACTTGCCAAGAACACATCAATCAGGAACCTTATGTGCTTAATCAAACTTCAAGATAATGAAACAATTACTTTTAACTTTAAATATAAAGAAAAGAACAACAGTTTCAATTTCTTGCAAAATGTTTAAAATGTTTCTAAGTCACTAAGAACATGACTAATACATACCCTAAAACACTAGTGCCTGTTTATATAGAAAACTAGAGGCCTGGTGTATGAAATTCGTGTGTGGGTACGGTCCCTAGGCCTGGCATGCGATCAGAGCTATCTTCCCCAGCTGCCTGCAGCCAGCCCCAGTTCCCCATTTACCATCGGGTGATCGGAGCCTGTCGGCCAGGGGGAGGAACCGAGAGGTAGGCTGGCCCCAACCCCGCCATGGGTTGCCCTCTGTGTATGGGGTGACGGCCTTGGCCTGGGGCCACCTGCGTCCCATGCCACCTACCCCCGATACCCCATTTGCCATAGTAATCGGAGCCTGCTGGTCAGGGAAAGGGACCAAGAGATGGTCAGTGCACCTCACAGTGACTGGTCGAGCAGGCATTCTGGACGTTCCACTGTAAGGGTCAATTTGCATATTACCCTTTTATTATATAGGATTATTATATAGGATAATGTGGCATGGAATACTGTACTCGGCTTTAAAAAAAGGATATCCTACTCTTTGCGACAGCATGGATGGACCTGGAGAACACTATGCAAAGTGAAACAAGCTAGTCAGAGAAAGACATGTATATGATTTCACTCATATGTGGAATCTAATGAACAAAATGAACTAAGAGACTCATAGATAGAAAGCAGGCTGACAGCTGGGGGAATGGGAGTCTGGGTGGTGGTGGTGGTGAAGGAATTGAGCAAAAAAGAAAAAAAATGGTATATTGAATGCATAGAAGTATGCTTGACT